AAATGAGTCTTCTAATAGGAGCACCCATTTAATTTAGATATTTTGATTGTCATTCTGATCGACTTCCTGTTTCAACTCCTTTATAAAGACTCCCTGGTTGGTTTTCCCATTTTTTACTTAGGTCTTTGGTTTTCTATGATTGTCGAAAAAAATGATCTGCAATCATTTGAAGTCTATGCCATTTGCCCGTCCAAAAAAACAACTTTAAAATTGATAAAACCCTTAAAGTCCATACATATGTTCTAAAGGTAATCGTTATCTTTACCCACCTTTTACTTTTGATTGCTATTGTTGTGATTTTACGCAATAAAAATAGCACATCAGCTGAGACTGTTGTCTGGCTACGTAGTAGCAATTGAAAATATTTAAAATATTCCCAAAGTAAATAAAAAATATTCAGACCTCTTCTTCACTTACTAAATATGGCAAGGAATTGTACTAAATGTGGGTGCACAAACTGATTTCTCATTCGTATTGTTGTTGTTGTGGTTGTTCTAAATATAATCGGACCCAATAAAAATATTCAACTTCTAGGAAATGCCATTTCATTCCATTAGCAAAAACAAACAAAATATAAACATTGTTTATCAGAAAACAATAAGAACAACAACAATAAACCCGCAATTTTTACCTATTGTTGTTGTTGGTTCACTCGTTCATTCATTCATTATTTTACGATCGAATTGTATATATTCCGGATGGGGGGATTTACATTTTGGCCAAAAAGACTTGAGCAAACATGCTTTCATTCGCATGCCTTACTAACACAATTGGCCACACTAATTTCTGAGAAATTCAAGGTCTTATCAATAAATGAGAAATGGTTTGTTTTATTAGATATTTTTTCACTTAAAAAGAACTACAAGTGTTTTTGGAAAATTTATGATTGAAAAAATTATGTAAAACATTGTATTGAATTTTTATATTTTTAAAACATTTATTGACCAATGACCTTCACCCCCAAACATTTGGCAAAGGTAAGACAGGTCATTACATTGTTTATACACAAAACTGTTTGTTTGCAGAATTTTAAAAGAATACCTATATAAAGTAATAATTCTTATTGCTAGAGGTAGAATCTCTTCGTTATTTGGGTATAATTTGTTATGATGTATATTATTAAATATGGAAGCCTACAGCATATAGACTCCAAATTATACTTTTAGGGCATGTGTCGACAATCTCTCACTGACTGTTACGGATAATACTGAGACTCCAATTATTTCTAAAGAATGGTCTTAAATTGTGTGTCTTGTGACAGTCATGGAGTACCATTCGTAGTTTTGGAGAAATATTTCACAATTTTCTCTTCTGCTCCGCGAATTCACCTTTTTTCAAAACCAGCTTGCATGAAATTTTTAAAACAAACTCGAAACTACGAATCCACGCATGCAAAGGACTTATCTCATATTTTAATTCAAAATGTGGAGAATCAATGTTTCTTATTGGTCGAAATTGCTTTGGTCCAGCATGACAGATAGGGCATTGCTGTGTATTTTTCGTTTCAGTCAACACATTTAATATGTTTCCCTATCTTAATGTCATATATAAATTATATTAGACTTTAATTCAATTTCACTCTGGTATGTATTGTAGAGGTTCCAATTTCTTAATCTGATTATTTTTTTCTGCTATGGTGTGTTTTTTTAACAAACTTTACTTTTAAGCCTTTAAAACAAAAGCTTACTGACTGGGGTGTACGGTTAACACAAATATTATGAAATTATTTTTATTGGAATAACTAATGTGACAAAAAGGGACTGGTCGAAACTTTCTGAAGCATTTCCCACATTTTTTGTTTAAGCAAGCTGCGACCGGTAGAACCATCAAACCCGCAGCTCAAATCTAGGATCGAGTGTTTAAAATCTATTGTAGACAATACTTCATCTTGATATGCAAAAATTCTTCTAGCTGTGTGTTCTAATAAATGTTGCATCGATATTTCGACAGAGCTTTCATTCGCACTGATTTCATCGGGTCTACATTTCAATTTGGTCTTATAAACTTTATCATAAGTCTGATAAATACTAATATTATGTTTTTTAGTTACTCTGCTTCATCAGGTAATATTGATGTACCTTCTTTATGACTAGTATTAATAACTTTTCTAATTTTGGATGACCGGTTTGTTGATATAGCAACTTGTTGATATAGCAACAAATTGTGAGAGCTGATCTCCATTTATTTCTCTTGCCGCTATCAACATATGTAGTTTTTGGTCGACCGATAGCATTAACCTTTTTCGATGCAACAAAAATCCTTATTATATTTTCTAATTCCTTTCTCATTTCTGCATTGTCCATCCCATTGTCGTTTAAATAGATATTAATTCAGAATCAATTTCGTATGAAATCTTTCTATCCATGTAATTCGAAACATTCCTGTTATTTCTTAACCAAAACTCTAATATTTCGGAATTTTTCAATCTGAGTATTTCTGCAAACATATGGATAATTCATTGGCGTCTGCATTTATCATGACATAAAGCTAGCATTTTCTACGAACAATCACATATAAATAGTTCCCGTAACACTTTTTTACATTTTCATATTCCTTCCACAAAAAATGAAAATCACTCCAAAATTTCAAAAAAAAAAAAAAAAAAAATCGTAAAATACACGAAATACAAAAAATAGCAAAGTGTATTTGTATATAGTAAAAAATACACACCTCGAGTATTAGAACTAATATTTACAAAGTTTTTTACAAGATTATATTGTTAAAAACGACTTTTAATTTTACAAAAAAAGTTGCTGCTCCATACTTAAATATTGTAACGCATACTTAAATATGCATATGTGCATATGTTCGGCTCTTGATCTAAAATGTACGTACCTTTCGTGAGTGGTGAATGTTGATCAGAATACGAGTGGAGTTCGTCAAACTTCATTTGACTTTCTTTAATTGGCGATAACAGCAGTAAAATGCCATTTTAATTTTGGATTATATTTTTAATACTCCCAATTTTATTTAAAACATTCTTTTTTTATTTATGCATCCCAAAAAAAAATCGTACCGTTTTATTTATTGTTTTGTAATTCTGACATACTAACATTGTCATAATGTCATCAATGCAATTGTTTTTAAATATACAATATGATATAATCGCCATCCCGCTGATTATCTCCCAGGAATACCAGTTTGAAGACGGATTAGTAATGTGATTACTTGAATATTCCCAAAAATTCATGCATTCATTCATGAATACAGACACCAAGACCAAACGTGAGACGGAAACAACAATAACAACGACGACAAGACATTGCAAATATTACGACGCTGTTTACGTAGTTATGACTTATATGGGCATGAGTGCTCAAGACCATTTCCACATTTTTTGTTGTTGCAGATTTTACGCGCGTCTACGGTACAATGTTGCGTCAATTACTCCAACGTGTACAAATCGGTTGTCAGTATGGCAAGAACAACAGGTGGAGGCGGACATTATGCAGCAGCAGCAGCGGTGGTGGCAATGCTCGTCTGATGAGCCGGTAAGTATTTGTTTTGCTTCTTTTGTATTTGTTGCGTATTTTTTGCGATCAAAGGAATTTTCCTAATAAGGAATGAGTTTGACGTATGATGTTGATGTCTTTCCATAAAGCGTCGTAATTAAATTATTAAAATTTATTTATATTAATTAGCAATCCATAACACTGAGATGTATTCTTATAAAAAATAACTAATTATTAACAAATTTGGTGTGGAATATTTAGGTAATTAAAATAATTTTTTAAAAGAAGCTGTAGGGACATAATTTGTCATGGATACATAACGTGTCGCAAAATGCGCATATAGAGCACTGTGGTGGTATTGAATGGAAAAAACAGTAGATATCGGATACAACCACATTTCATATAAGAAAAAATCGCAAATAAGAAATAATAGTAAAAACACCGAGCTATTTTTGAGTTTCTTATATCCGATCTCTACTGTACAAAACACACAATTGAAACAGTATTTTCTGAATTGGAACAGGACTAAAGTTGTGTCGTTCCTGACCGAACTAGTTCAAAGGAACTATTACGAACCATGAACGATCGGAACTAGGTCCGGATCTTTCGGTCACCTAGTTGATTTCGCTCCGCCGTTTCTGCCTTAAATTTAATTGTTGAAAATACCCTAACAAATATAAATTATATATATTGGTCACAGTGCGCTGAGTTGTTACGTTCTACCACAAGAACCCAAATGCGTGGAAAAAGCCTACCGACACAGAACCGGATACAATCGAGGAAATTTTACCTATCCTTAAGGCATTTTTACTTTTCAAATATTTTGTAAAAGACTATTGCTGATAGGTGCTCCACTGATAACAAAAATATCAGCATTGTTGCATTGTTTGAAGGACGGTTTGGGGAATATGAAGAAAATAATTTTATGCTAAGAGTGATATGCTTGATTCACGCTTCAAACGAAAATCATGTAAAAACAACATGAATTATGAAAATGAAGTAAAACATTTAAGGGATAGGATATACAGCATAAAACTTTCAAGTCAGGGTAAAATCACCTGATATATCTGAACTGGATTTTTGGAAATTATTCGACGACGACTTCAGCAAGACATCTAAACAATACGGCCGCGACTATAAGAGAATAAAACAAATATCTCAACGAAGAGTACATTGACCGTAAAATAAATCCCTTTGAGTGGTGGAAAGAGAGGAAAAAATTGTATCATAGGGTTTACATACATATGCAACGACGTTGATCCATAATAACATCTGTTCCATTTGAATGATTTTTCTGCCGCTGGGAAGATAATTACGCGGACGCTTTTTATACCAACTTTAAAACAAAGTCAGTAAGATAGTTTTCCTAAGTAGTAGGGTCAAAAATTGTCACACGAATTAAGTCAAATATGTGATGATCCAACTTAAATCAATGTTATCCCTCTATTTATTAATTAATACATATTTCACTTTTGTATCTAATAACAGTGCAACTAAACATTTACTACAAAAAATAAACTGGTATGTGTATAAACCTGGCCACTACTACTACTTATTGAGCATTGGATGTTCCTTCCCCATCATTCCCTTGAACATGGTAAAATAGGTATATGTCGTATTCAATAGGGCTTGAAATGCTTCGAGAGTCATCGGAAATATTCCACCAGCTTTTATCTAAAACCAGATATCAGTACAAATTAATATGGGCATACCATTCTATAATAATTTACCTTTATAGGAGTCTGACTACGCAACATTAATATGGCAATACATTTTCGTATCTTGGTGTTCGATCTAGTCCAGTTAATGTTGTAAGCAGCATCGGCAATTTTTGTGCTCTAAAATCAAATTAACGACAGAACAATAAAACAATTTTGTGACATCTTTGGGTTATCTTTTCAAACATGTATAGGCCAACATGTTCGGATACAAATACCTTTACAAATAGTTTCACTTACCTCCCACGAAAACTCATTGGCATGCCAATAGGGAATGAAAAGTGCATAGAGAATGCAAAAAATATAAATGCATATTGCCATTTTCAACATTACGTTGTCCATCTGCAAAATATGAAAACGCATTAAAACGACCACTTTGTGACTGATAGATGATTCATCGATGTGTGACTCATTATTGCATTTACCAATAGGAAACTGGCCAAAAGAACACACAACATTAACGTGAATAATACCAATTCGACAAGACACACAAATGAGACCAAACTTTCCAGTGTTTTGCCAAAACTGGGAAAATATTACAACAGAATAGAATTAAAAAACAAAAAAAAATTATTTTTATCATTTACAACATACTCCATTATCCGATGATGAAATCGTATTAATTCCTTTAACTGTTTCAACATTTCCTCGTCATTTTCATGGGGCAACGATTCCAATTTGTGACGCAAAATCTGCAGTAAACGTATGCCGAATGTAAGCCATGTAATGAATAGATTTGTAAACGGAACATAGGTCAGCAAACAGAAGGGCATCGAGATGCAACTCTCCATAAAGTAGAGTATTTCGTAGACAGGGCTCTTAAGGTGATCGCACTTTGGTACGTATATATCGTAGGGCAAACCTGATTTTATAAGAATAAAAATGAAATCAAGTAAAGATTTTCTATACATCGAACATAATGATTTGGTATAAAAAGACAACAAACCTTCTATAAATAACACATACAATTTTTCTATAAATTAGATCTAATGATATTCTATAATGAAACTCTAAGGGTCTTCTTTAAAGAAGTCGTAAAATCTCCTCCAAAATAAGTCCTGGCGCTACACGAACAAGGACACAACCATCTCTTCTACGAACAAGCTCAAAAGTAATATACTTACATCGCTCCTCCAAAAATAGTGGAATCATTGCTGAAGCCCCAGCTGCACCAGCGGCAAATGAAAAGCTTACAATAGAAATCAAACGTGTACGTCGTGGTACATGCTTTAATAAATTCCATGCTCCCGCATCCGATCCCATCTAACAACATTTTAAAAATAAACAAAAACAATTTAGTTTATAAAACTCCATATCACACACACATCTCTCTCTCTCTTTTATTACCTCGATTTCGTGATACCAATTTTCAATCATTTCAAAAAATTCTATAAATTTCGATTGATTTTTCATTACGGTCAGTATCCGCACCAAAGCATTAAACAAAATAGCCGTCATAAATAGACCAATGGCAATAACGCTCATATCATGCAAATTGTAAGCGATATTCATAAATTGGCAAGTATTAATGAAACATGGAAAGATGAGTATTACGATAGCCCGATCGATTCTTTCAAATTCGATGAAACCCAATAATTTCCACATTTTTATATTGAAACTAAACAGTGGATGATTGTAATACATTGCGATGCGATTGAGTATTTTAAAATTGTGTTCAATGATGATATGTATATTGGGAAATACTGAATATAAATGACGATTGATTGCAATATACGTTTGTTATAAGGGGTTATTGTTGTTGGTATGGATTTGCAAAAAAAAGGCAATTTAAATCCCATTTAAGGATAATTGTAAAATTATCATAAGATTTTTGCATATTTAAAACGACTTAATTTGCAGTGATTGCATTGTATTTGTAACTAAGTATTGGCAGTAACATGGTGCTAAGTATCCGCATATTTATTATGCTACAGCACCGTACAATTTCACAATAGCTACATTTTTTTTTAAAGGCGATCGCAGCGCTTTTTAACATCGTCACAGTGAAACGTGTGAATCTTCGAAGACGAGCCACATCCAACGAAAGTTGTTCATGGAAGAAACAACAAAGGACGTTAAATTTTTAGTGGTACACTAAAATTTGTTTATCTGAAGTCTTCGATATCAAGCAACGGCTCTGATTTGCTTTAACACGGCTTATCTTTGTCCCTCTTTCATCTCAATTGTGGAAATAGTGAGCAGATATGTGCCGCGAGTTCACCCATATGAACTATAAAAAAGCGGGTTTAGGCGTAGGGTTAGTTGCCCACTCTCGGAAAACCCCACTTAATATGGAAACGCATGTTGAACAGAACAGGCGCAGTTTTCAAGAGGTACAAAACCGATATTATTGCAGAAAATGCGACGAAAAAGGACAGGCGTAAGTAAATCAGATGATTACCCACTGTATTATATCTGCCATGAAACAAGACATGAATTTGGATTTATGGTTAACAGGAGAATAAAAGACCCCGTCTCGAGATTCATTCCAGTAGATGAGCGAATTGCTATAATCCATATAAAAGCGATCAGTCTTATTTGGGCCCATGCTACAACGGAAGACATAGATGAACAGCCCAACAACAAAATTCAGCCTACACGAAGAAACATACGACAACGGAATGCGGTTGATTGACTTCGCGGCAACAAAAAACATGGTATTTAGCAGCACCAGATTCAAGCATCTTGATATACACAAGGCCACCTGGATTTCTCCCGATCAAACAACGAGAAATCAAATTGATTATGTTGTGATAGATGGAGAGCACCCATCAAATGTTTAAGACGTTCGATCGAGGAGCAAATATCTACTCCGCTCAACTTACCAATTTGCTTGACGAAATCACTCCTTGTCCCGATATAATGACAAATAATTGCCCGCTTGGATACCAAAGACCACCATCATGAAAACCATGATACAATCAGGAGTGTCTTAATACCAAATACATGGTGGAAGCTCTATAACAGGACCTCGTCAAAATATATACCTTCAAGAGTTCGGAATACTAAATTACGGGACGTCTCCATTTTAAATATTGCAATCTTTATTGCGATTTAAACAGACCCACATCACTAAATCCCTAATCATGCTTCTTAGAAAAATTCTATAAACCAGGAAAAGATTTTAGTGTGGATTCACTTTTGCTAAGAAAAATATTCATACAAAAAATTATTAATTTAAAATTTCAGGTTCGTAATGAATAAATTAATTTGGGCCAGGTTTTGGCGTAGCAACTATGCAATTTTTTACTTTCGCTTATTTTTTATACAAAATAATGGTATTATTGGTTTATTTAACTTACTCGGCATTTCTGACACTGAAACAATCACGAATAAAATATCCAATCAAAATTTTTTTATCTCAATGACAATCCATATTCGTTAGTAATAAATGTGGCACGTTTATTGCAGTTAAAAAAAAACTTATAGTCATTATAGAACGATTATATATAGTGACAGTCTGATGTTGCTGGTATTGTATTTATGAGAACTTATTCTCAGATTTTTATTTGTTTTGGATTTTTTTCTTTTCAATCTTCAACTGTACTTATTTTTCTTTTCTCAATAAATTCCAAACACGTTGGAAATTATGAAATACCAATTGTCCAGAATGAAATAGAAACTTTCACTAGACAACAACAGCAACAACAATGCAAATGATAATCACACCACGCAGTTGTCATTTAACCTCCAAATGCGTGCCCAGCAAACATTTTCAGACAAGAAAACCTTTTTTTGAAATATTTCTAAATACAATTTTGAAATATCATTGCAATGACTTTCTAATGATTACCAATTATTTACTTGCAATTAATCCATCAATAAAATTCCAAACCGATTAATAACAAATCAAGGAAATAATTCATCACAAAAGTAAATTTAGACGATGGAAACAATTATTCACCCCAAAATACATTTTATGTGGAAACACTTTTCGCTGTAATCAAAATCAATTCATCAAAATTTATGATAGTCCAACCATTAACACTTGAAAAAATGTTTCGAGTGAAAAAAAGAAAACAACAGCAACATTGTTATCATCAAAACAACGCTCGCTAACCGGCAAAGTCTGCTGGGTAGAATTGAATAACTTGTGGTTTTGCTACTTGAAAAACGTGAGGTAGGTCAGCACATTTGCTGATACAAGAAAAAAATATATTAACAGCCACATTGAGATTAAAATAGCAAAGCTATTCTAGAATAGACCCACATACATTAATTTGAAAATGTTAAAATTTTATTCCAAAATCACGAAACAGATTTGTTGCGTCAATATTGAATGACTGATGACGATGATGATGATGATGACAGCAGTTGCCTGCTTACGTCTTAAATATTATAAAAGAGGGCGTACAAAAAAGAATATTTGTAATGGGGACTAGACGATCGATTGGAGCTGAAATTGCAAATAGATAACGGGACAAATATATATTTATAACGGGAACTATATATTATTGTTAAATATCATATTATTATATAATATTCTAATTTTGTAATATAGACGTTGTAAGCTTGGACCATAAATGGGATCAGTTGACTGTAATGAAAACAAATTATATTTTCATTCTATTTTTGTATTTGGTTCCCCCGATCATATGCATGATTCATTACTGTATTCAATTTACAGATTTTTTTGAAAAACACTTTTTTGATTATGCCTCCAAGTCTCGAACACCTAATATATTATATATCATGTCTGGATATCCCTTCCATGAAAGGATATAATCTTTTATTTTTCTAATGTGACAAATCACATCTAGATGAGAGTGTGGTATTAAGGCAAATTACAACGACCCGATGACAAACAGCTAAAGAAAACCCAGTACTGGAATATACAAAACCAGTTCGATATTCGGAATCCAGTGCTACATATAATATACATTGAATACACATATGTATATTGCATAATTTCATAATAATGATCATAATAATAGGTACACCAAGTTTTAAAATAATAAATTGTCTATTACTCCCAAAATTTCTATAACAGACGTCCTAAACGTAAATAATTTCACGTTCGATTCACTAAAAAAAAAACTTTGAAACATGATGGCGGAAATATTACGGCTTGGGGATGCTTCTCATGGAATGGGGTGCTTCCCCATACAGAGATATTTTTCAAGACGTTATTTTTCCATATGCAAGCGAAGAAATGTCATTGTTTTTGATTTTTAAACAAGATAATGACCCAAAGCATACATCAGCATTGGTCAAAAATTGGTTTAGAGAGAATAATGTTAATCTTTTAAGCTGGCCCAGCCAATCTCTCGACTTAAATCCAATAGAAAATCTATGGGGTGAACTTAAAAAAATATCAAGAGAAGTTTTCAGAAATAAAAATGATTTATGGGAGAAAACCAAATTACACCAGAAACAAGCAAGAATCTTATCTCCAGTATGCCCAACCGGATGAACAAAGTATGTAGTTCAAAATAGAGGCTGTTATACTAGCTACTAGCCCATTTTAAATGTTCAAACAAGTTTAAGACAGAACACGTTATATAAGTGAAATATTAACGTATTATTGAAATGTACCTGTATTGTATTATGTATTATTTTGATTGCCTTATTCTAATTATGTTCCTGAATAATTCTTGTTTACTTAATAATTATGTTAAATGTTATTTTTTTTTGGTATTGATGTGATCACAATAAATAAAATTTGACTTATTTTTTACCACTATATATCATAGGAACGCATTTATTTCACTAAAGTGTTCCTATTATTATGATCATGCGTGTATATATGCCAGCCTTCAATAACAATTTATACAAAATAACTGCCACTTCGATCGGAAAATGAGGCTAAAGCCTTTAAAATATAGGAAAAGGTTCGGTACCGTTATATGGGAACTACGTAAACAGAATTGGGATTTGAACCCCATGAGAATCTGAAAAATCAAATTAGATCCAATTCAGTTGAAAAACGTATTCAAAGTCACTAAAATACCAAATAATTGGGGGTACCCGGAAACTTGTGACAATTTTCTACTCAATGGGAATCCAAAATATGAAATTACATCCAATTTGCCCACGTGCCCAAGTGTCGGCTATCCTACCAATATACTACCAACAGTTTTTGGTAGGAATATTTTCTATTCAATGATAAATTTCTCATATTAAATTAAAATAAATTCAGTTGAAAACGTGTCTAAAAGTTCAAAATGCCGAAAGTATGTGAGGGCTACACTAAAAGTGGACCGAAATATCCCATTTTCAATACTAAATATCCTAGGAGTAATAGCAATGTATGTGCAAAGTTTCAAACCTCTATCTTAAATATTTCTCTATATTGATTTGAACAGACGGAATAGGCTAAATCGATATAAAATTTTATTCTGATCTTCTTCATAAAGAACACAGAATTTCTAGAAGTATATGAAGACTAACCTCAAATTGTCAATTTTTATTCCGTTTTTAGAGCGCAGAACAGGTCTTGACTGACTTCAGTGTATGTCCTGTTGTTAGAAATGTGTCAAGTTGTATCACGTTATAATTACACATTTTGCACCTGCTTACTATAGGTCAGATATTATATTTTTAGCCAAAATTAGAGCAATGGGTGCGCACCAACACGCTTTTATTCGAAAATCAAATATAATGAATCCAAATGGCGAGAACACATCATGGAGTCGATTGCTGCT